GTTGTTTGAAGCGACCACACTTTTCAATGGAGTATCCTTGGGCTCCAGCGTGATAATCACAAGAGAGTTTCTCATTATACCAACTCGGGTATGGTAGCAACAAAGGCTTAGCTCGACATGGAGTAATAATCTGGGCTTTGAGTAACTCAAGATATAACTTGTTGCATGAAAATGAAGAAAACTTGGGTAGAATTTCCCCTGACATCACTGTCAAATTACAATTGTTTACTCTGCTTTCTTGAAGACCTTGTGACTGTTTGCTTTGTTTAACTTTCTTCAATGGTACTAAAATTTCTTCCATGCTTCTCTTCAACTTGATCTTTGTCGCATTATCTGGGGTCATACCCGATTTTTGGAGATTTATCGAATTTCCACATTCCCCGACAAAGTCTTGGTCATTTGTTTCCATTGTATCAGCTACATCATTCATAACCCCATTCAAATCTTTTATAACAGGATCCTCTAAGGGTTTCTCTCCATGGATCACAACATTCATCAGGTCCATCAGTTTTATCATTTGTTCTTTTGAATCATTATGGGAATTTTTTACTTGATCAATCATCTCTTGTTGAGTCTTGATAAGTTGCTCTTGTAATTTCTCAATTCTACCAACCTTTGCTAAAATCTCATTCATGGTTCTTATCCTTATTTAGGAAGACCAAGTTAGCTCCACTTTGATTTCAAAAATTCTGTCATGGAATCTTCCACGAATTACTCTCATGTTTTCATGTTTAAATGTATGTAAAATAGTTTAAAACCAAATGTAATTATGTAAAAATGAAAATGTAAATACAAACGTAAAAATGAAAATGTAAATGCAAATGTAAATATGTGAATGTAATAATAAAAATGCAAATTGTATAGTACAAGAGCAAATATAAAAGTATAAATGCACAATGCAAAATGCAAAAATGCAAAATGCAAATGCATGTATGAAAAGGTGTTTACTCAAGAGTGATCATCTTAGAACAGATTTCATTGAACACAAAAGTTTCGATACATCAAACAAAACTTTACATATAAGGATATCTTTCACTCCTAACTTCTCCAAAGCCCAGTTAGTTTCCATTCATGCTCAAAAAGTTGAGTTTTAAGTCTGCTTCATCGCCTTGTAAAATCAGCTAAATCTATCACTTTATGGGTCATATTGCTTGTCTGGACTGCAGCTTCTTCCATGACATTCTAGTGTTTCTTCATCTTCTGTGTCACTTCTCGGAGTTGCTCATTTTCTCTTGTAAGAGAAATTTTTTGTCCAAGAAGTTCTTGGATTAGATCTTCATATATGTTACAGTTCTTTTTCAGTTTGGTAACCCCTGTTATCCACTCTTCTGGGGTATCTCCTATGCCAACATTTTGAAAGGCTTGACTGATCTTCTGAAAATCTTCATGCATGGTTTTCATTTCTGTGCTCAATTTCTTGTTTTGGTCGTTCAAGTCCTTCAAATAACATGCTTGAGCTTCATAAAAACATCCTCTACTCTGAATGCCCTGACTGATACTCTTACCATAGACTGCTTTTGGTATCAATCTGGCAGGATCTTTGTGGAGTACTTTTGATATTAATATAACAGGATCTCTGTGTGCTTTGTTTGTTTCTATCCTCGGAGTTTCCTCAGGATGTCTTTCTTTGGCCGCATCATATTTTGTTTGATCATAAAACGTCTTGTCCATTTACGATTTCTTTCCAATTTGATGAACAATCTTTCAAGTCAACACCTTTTGATTATGCCATGATCATGCAATGCAAACAAAAGAAATCTATGCAAACAAGTTAGAGCAAAATAAAATGTATGAAAAATAAAAAATAAGAAAGGAAATAAATAAATTGGTAAATACCAATTAATGAAAAGAAAATATTCTACCTATCATGGTATATAATATATCCTAACCTCATGCTTTCTAGTTCCATGCTTTGTTTGGAAAAATTAACATAACAACATGATTACTAATTCGTATGCATTTATTTAGAGAGAAAAATAATAAATTAAATAAATTAAAAGCTAGAGCTTATTTCTCCTTTGTGTACACCTATGAACAGAGGTTCAGTACTGTCTTAGATTAGGTGAATTTCTAGGGTTTATTATATGCAGAGTTTCAGTTCTAGGAGTAAAGGTACTCGAATTGTCCTTGTTGATGCCCCATTGGGCTATCAAACCCTCAATCCTAGTCCATTACAGACTTAAGCGGATTGAGTTCAATTCGAGGGGACACATTTATCTATGTCTGACACGGAGAATAAATTCTCACGAAGATATAGAGCATATGAACCCCGAAAGCTACTTGCTAGGTCTGACACGGAGAATAAATTCTCACGAAGACGTCGCTTTCACTCCCACTTAAAAAGGGACAAGCTTGATTAGAAAGCTTATGTTATGCAATGCAAGTGTTGTGTGTGAGGAGAAATGTTCAAACCTCTGACAAACAAATAAATAATGAAATTTAATATTTGAAAATAAAATAATAAATAAAAAATATAATAAATATTATGAAAATAATAAGTAATAAATTTTTTGAAATAAAAGAATTAAAAATTAAATAAATATGAATTTTTAATTTCTAATTGATAGAGACAATTTATAATTAATTTTAAAGTTTGACGTCCCCAGCGGAGTCGCCAAGCTGTAGAAACCGGTTTTTGCCCGGGCACGAATTTTTTACTTGGCGGGAAAAGTGATGTGAATAAATGGTTTTTTAAAATAATTTGGGAGTCGCCATCGGTCTTTTGGATCAGGTAGGTCGAATACCTAAAAATCATCATTTAAAAGAGTTTTTTAACAAAACATCGATTAAAAGATAAACTGATCTGCGTTTTAACCAAAAATTCGTTTTTTTAATAATAAAAAGGGATTCGTGGTCGGTTACGTTTAGGGAATGATTAGCACCCCTACAAAGCCCAAAATTGGTACTTTTTAATTATAAATTGTCTCTATTATTAGAAATTTAAAAATTCAAAATATATTTAATTTATAATCCTATTATTTCAAAATTATAATTATATAAAAAAAATATTAATTTATATATATTTATAAATAAAATATTTATTTATTTAGAAATATCAGAAAAGGACTTCTAGGTGCCTTAAGACAGCTTTTTTCTTCGATACTAAAAAATAAATAATTAAAACAATTAATATATAATTTATAAAATAGGATATTTATTTATTTAAAAATATCAGAAAATGGACATCCAGTTGTTTTAAGACTGTCATTTCTTAATATTGAAAAATAAATATTAAAACAGGATTAAAATAAGTTAAAAGTAATTAAATAAGATTTTAATAAATAAAATAAATATTATTTATTATATAAATATATATATTTATGGCTAAATAATAATAGTAATAATAATTAAAAGTAAACATATAAAATTAACATATAACTAAACAATGAATAAAATTAAAACTATATATTTAAAATAAATAAAACTTGTAAAAAAATAAATAAAATTGAAATTAGTGACTAAAAAAAATAAAATTAAAAATAACAGAAACAAAATGCAAAATATCAAAATTTAGGGACATAATTCGAATCATAAAAATATAGCTACTAGTAATGTAATTAGCCCTTATTTATTAATAGGTGATTAAAATAAATATTAACTAAATTATGAGGAACTAATCATAATATTTAACCTAAATATATATAACTACGGTGCAGTGACTAAAATATAATAAAGTATAATTGAAAGTCGAAACTAAAAGGCACATAAACTGATTTCAGTGACTAAAATGATTAGATTACAAATTGTAGTGATTGAGGAAAGGGTTTACCCTTTACCAAATTACACACAGACCCCTCCCCAAAAACGACGTCGTTCGGGGATGGGTTTTTAAGCCTAAAAACCGGCCTAAAATGGCCGGTCTCCCTCATTTCCTTGTTCTGCTTCTCTCTCTAAAGAGAGAGAAGGCAGATCTACAAACTCCCTCACCGGAGGGATAAGGCCACCGGACGGCCACCATGCTCCGGCTCTGATTCCCGCCGCCGACCACCATTCACGGTGGCCAGAGTTTGGAAAAATAGCCTAAATCGATCCTTTGTTTCCCCTAAACCCAAATCTAGTTTCTTTTTCTCCTAAAACTCTTTCAATAGACGTAGATCTAAACAAAAACCGAAGGTTTACCTCGGTTTACAAAAGTTTCCGGTGACGTTTGGTATCCGAGGGTAAGTTCTTCTCTTCTCTGTTTTTATTTTCGATTGTCGATGCTTGCTGTGTTCTCGTTGCTTCTCTTACGTAGTTGTCTGGGATCGTTGGTGTAGTTCTTGCTCTTGTTTCTGTTTTTCTCCGGTTCTTCCTCTCTGTTTTCTTTTATTTTGCAGGTGTGGTGGCTTTTATAGCCACCACCGAGGCTTTCGTCGGACCGGTCCCTTAGGAGGCTTTCGGTGAGTCACCATAACTATGGTGGTGACTCACCATAGGCAACAACGTGGACGATCAGAGTCATGGCAGCAGAGCTTCTAGAGGCTTCGGCAGCGAGGTGGCGTGGTACTGGAGTGTCGGCAGCTGGACGTTGGACCACTTGGCAGAGGCGACGGCTGGCCTTCTGGAATCTTGGAGGAGGCGGCAGCAGTGCTAGGGTTTAGAAACCCTAGCTAAAACCCTAAATTGGTTTAGGGTTTTAGTTAAGCTATCTGGTTGGGCCAGAATTGGGCTCCGGGTATTGGGTATTATTGTAATTGGGCCTGTAATAATAATAAATTATTTATTTAATAATAATATAATATAATAATATTATTAAAATAATAATAATAAATAAAACAAATGAAATAAAAAACTAGTGTCTTCAATCTTGTTTCACACACTACCTTCATTGACTCCTGTATATCTCCCAGAAATAAGCTGCTGGAGATTGAGTTGATCAAGGTTTTTATTATGATGATCTCAAAATGGCAATTATTTTCTGGCTTTTGGTTCATATGCCAGTTAGGATCTACATTTTCAGCTAAATCGTGATCTTGGCTTGTGCACTCCTTTGTTTCTAACTTGTAACAATTAACATTTAGGCATTGTCATTGACTTGTTCTCTGATGGAAAGGTGTCGCAGTTGCAAGAGGTATGTACCATGTCACAATGACGAAACATATTAGGGAACTTTTTATAGATTTAGTTAGTAGAAAAAGGGTGGGGCTTGTTTAGAGTTATGATAGGTCTGAGGCTGAGTGCAGAAAATAAGGGATAAAGGGCTATGTTTCTAGTACTGTGAGCGCTATTTGTGGAAATTTTGCATTAAGCTTCATTCTTCTATAGGATTTCTTGTGATGAGCACAAAATTAGAATAACAAAGGTGAAGAAATCACTAAACTTATCCTTGGATCCTTTATTTGACATCTAAGGTCCATTGCTTCATCAATCATCGGACTAGTTTCATTTTCTTTACGATGAGCTCTCATTATGTACAGACCGTAAAATAGTGGTATGTGTAGAGAAGAAGATCATATTTCTCTGTATTTCTTGATATTTTATTGATAAAAATGGCACCTATATATAGGTTACAAAGAGATTCTAATCTAAGAAAAAATCACATAAAATCAGCAGCTACTGCACTACTCAGCTATACTAATTGCGACTGACTATCACTAAGTAGCTCAAACTTATTGTCTCGACTTAGCTCTAATTCAACCATATACCTTCACAAATTCCAAGTGCAAGGGCCCTATACTCAGCTTCTGTACTACTTCTGGCAACAACTGATTGTTTCTTGCTTCTCCAGGTGACTAAATGCCCCAAACCAGAGAACAATAACCTCTAGTAGACCTTCTATTAGTCAGCTCCACAGCCCAACTTGAGTTGGTGAAAATTTTCATTGATCTGTCTTTTGTTTTTTCTGAAAATTAGACCATGGTCGGAGTCATTTTCAGATACCTTAGAATCCTGTTTAAGGCCTCCAAATGTTCTTCTCTCGGATCTGTCATATGCTGGCTCACTATGCATACCAAGAAGGCAATATCAAGTTTAGTGAGAGAAAGGTAAATCAATTTACCCACCAATCTTTGGTATTGCTCCTTGTTTACTGCACTTCCCGTCTCATCTCTTCTCAACTTTAGATTGGCTTCCATTGGAGTCTCTGCTGGCTTATATCTTAACATTCCCGTTTCAGACAATAAGTCCAAAATGTATATTCTCTGGTTGATGACAATACTAGCCTTTGATCTCGCAACTTTCATCCCTAAGAAGTACCTTAGACTTCCCAGATCTTTATTTTCAAATTCATTAGCTAACATTTTCTTCAGGTTATTAATTTCGGCATAATCATCAACAGTAATGATGATATCATCTACATAAACAATGAGGATGACTTTCTTCTTTCTTGAAGTCACCTTTACAAACAATGTATGGTTTGTCTGACACTGTTTATATCCATTTTTAACTATAACTTTGGTAAACCTCTCAAACTATGCCCTAGGAGATTGTTTCAGGCCATAAAGAGACTTTTCTACCTTGCAGGCCATCTGAGTTCTTGTATTTACTTCCATTCCTGGAGTAGTCTCATATACACTTCTTCCTCTATATTTCCATTCAAGAATGTATTCTTAATATTTAGCTGATGTAATTCTCAATATTCATTTACAATCAATCTGAGCAGAACCCTAACTGTATTAAGTTTGGCTACCAGAGCAAATGTCTCATGGTAGTCAATGTCGTAGGACTGAGTAAAGCCCTCAGCCACTAGCCTTGCCTTGAACCTTTCAACACTGTCATTTGAATTGTACTTCATAGTAAACACCCACTTACAACCAACAAGTTTTTTTTCTTGTGGTAATTTGGTTAGGGTTCAAGTCTTGTTGCTTTTCAGTGCTCTAATTTCTTCCTCAATAACGTCCTTCCATCTAGGATCCTTCAAGGCCTCTCATTTGGCTAGGTTTTAAATGATCGGCTAACCTAAAATGATGTCATGTAGAATAGTGGTATGTACAGAGAAGAAGATCATATTTCTCTTAATTTCTTGATGTTTTATTGATAAAAATGACACCTATATATAGGTTACAAAGAGATTCTAATCTAGGGAAAAAAATACATAAAATCAGTTAATTACTCAAAATCAGCAACTACAATATTTGTAAAATCCCTAAGGTAGCGTTTGGTTGGCATGAATCCTTTGGAATTAGGGGGAATTGGAATCCAATTCCACCACTTTCTCATATTTGGTTCAAGTTTTCCAAGGGAATTGGAATCCCTCATGACTTCAACTTTCCATCAAATGAGGGAAAATAAATTCCATCCATTCTATGATGGAATTCAATTCCCTTGATGGAGGGAATTGAAATTTGACCATACTACCCTCCTCAATATTTTGGTAATTTATTCATATATTGAATAATTTTTTTTTATTATTTCGGGTCGGTTCGGGTTTCTAATTCATATATTCGAGTCGGGTCGGGTGAAGCTTTATTTTGGTCGGGTCGGGTTAGTTTTTTTAAGTGTGATATTCAGGTCGGGTCGAGTTCGGATTTAGGGTGAAAAATACCGACCCGAAAATATATATAATTTTACCTTATATATTTAGGAATAATTACAATAATACCCCTCTATATATAATTTTTTCAATTAAGTCATTGTTTTTATTGAATAAAAATAATTTTTTTTTTTATTTCGGGTCGGGTCGATTTTTTTAAGTGTGATATTCGGGCCGGGTCGGGTTCAGGTTTAGGGTGAAAAATACCCGACCCGACCCAAAAAATATATAATTTTACCTTATATATTTAGGAATAATTACAATAATACCCCTCTATATATATATATATATTTCCAATTAAGTCACTGTTTTTATTGAATAAAAATAATTTTTTATTATTTTGGGTCGGGTCGAGTTTCTAATTTATATATTTGGGTCGGGTCGGGTGAAACTTTATTTTGGTCGAGTCGGGTCTCGGATGGAGGTCCCCTTGTTCTCGGGTCGGGTCGGGTGGACAAAAAACCCGACCTATGGTCATCCCTAATTGGGATGATTTTAACTTATAATGTTTATTAGCATGATTTTTATAATTTATTGAAATGAATAATCAATCAATAAAATTAAAATTTATTTTTTAAAAAATTTTAATAATATATTGCTACATGTAATTTATAAAACAAACTAAAATTAAGCAAAAAAAAAACAAGAAGGGCAACCCTGTCATTTTACATTATTGAAATCAAATTCATCTGACATGTCTGCGAACCAAACAAAATATGTAATTGTATTCCAATTCAATTTCCTGACAACCAAACAGAATATGAAATTAGATTCCAATTCCTGACAGATTCCAATTCTTTCACAGATTCTAATTCCCTCAGAAACATTCCAGCGAACCAAACGCCACCTAAATGTTAGCAGCTATTCCCTAATTTTCCACAATCTGCACCAATCTACATCTTCCAGTTATAGTTGGACAGGGACTTATCAAGTAGAGAGCTAACAAACTGACTTAGAGCAATATAAGTTATTATTTGAAAATATGCTAGCATAAGCAAAACATAAAACCAGACTTTTAGACGCAAAAACTAGTAAATTTTTAGCAAACCAAGATGTTACCAAAATTTTCTGCACTTCATATATAAGGAACCTGTACAGCTCTGAAACTCAAATGTGAAGAAACATGATAGAAGAAATTAATTCTATTTATATATTGTCCTAAATCAGCCACAACATCAAATAAAGACCACGATCTATATGTTATAGGAAGTCCAAGTGTCCTACTTTCCTGTACCATTTCCCAGCTCGACCAATTGAGTTGTTCCTGATTTGGTCACTTCTTTTGTAGGGTTCATATCTCAGTAGGGTGCTATGACCCTTTTTTCCTTTTTAGCTTCCACCATACACTCTTACTGTTAGTTTCTCAGAAGACTCTATCTTTTGGAGGAAGATAGACACAAAAAAAATACTGTAAGAAATATCAAAAAGTTGAGTCCTTTTGAGAGAGAAAGCTCTCTTGGCATTTTTCATTGACAAAGTTTCACATAAGTTCCATAACTTTTTCTGTCAAATGTAATGGACTTTATTTGTCTTAGATGATACGGATATCTTCGGAAATTAATTAGGATCAGTTGATGATAATGACAACCCAAAATGATGAACTTAGGAAATAACAAACGCTAAATATCGAAGTAAATAATAAGATAAACCCACGCTAAAGAAGACGGATTAAATTGGTTGCAAAGAGTGAACCATGCAAACTGCAGTTTAACACCAGGGAGCTGGCCAAAAGAATTGATGACTGAGGCCTATATAAGATCATCATCTGTTAGACAAACAGTAATGACTTGTTTGCTACATGTCTCATGTCCATATTTGATAGTTTGCAACATGTTCTATAATTTCCTTCGTCAGGTCGAAATATGGTTGAAACTAAGTGATAGATTGATGCCCAATGGTCGATTTATGGTTAATTGCGGTGGGGTATGTGAATCATCCATAGATGGAAAAGTACACCTTCAATCTGATGATGAAATTTGTATACAAAATTCTACCATCAAGGCATTGGCTGAAGCATTTCATGGACAAGTATGTTGTTTGTTTCTCTGTTTTTGTTTGTGGACATATTTGTGTCATTTATTAACTTTATTTTATTTAGTGAGAATGGGAGATGGTGCTGTTCTCAAGAAATATTTTATTAAATGGTTGAATAAGTTCAAAAATAATGAAATTATAGAGCCACCTGGATTATCTAGATTATGCTTGTTTTTGGCTTTTTTTCTATTATTTAACATACTTGATAAGTTATCAAAAAAAGGAAAATACTTGATGAGCAATCCTTGAATATTTGGATTAGCACGTGGGCCTGGAGGGAAACCAACAATGAAACTACAAACTGAAATTTAACTATGTATAGCTAGTGGACAAATGATGAAGTTGGCCCGAAGAATTTTTAAATTGATATGAAATATCTAATTTAACTATGTATATGTAGTGAAAACTTGCTGAAAGAGGCAGACATGTAGCTCACAGTCATACTATATTATTATTATTATTTAGGTGTGGATATCTGTTTGATATTATCAATTAGATGGAAATCTTAGATTTAATTTTCTTTTTGATGTAGGTGCACTGGAAGAGAATGCCTGAAAGCCAAGGACTAAATTATCTTGCCCTAACAGGACCTTTGCCGGATTTGACGTCTGGTCGGCTATGGTCCCGAATTCCCTGAGTGAAGCTGTGAAACAATGGAAGACGTTGTAGGCCTTCTTACTGATAATTGCCACTTTCCTTTTAGCTTCTTGTGTGTTTCTAAACCTGAATCATTCCATCTTTCCTAGCAAATAACTTCACACTTGAACTTTTGTTCTTTGTCATCCTTTTATGAGCACTTTTTTGGTCTATACGACCCTTGGATTGAAGCTTTGTTGAAGAGAAGAATCAAAAGATTTCAAGTCATATTCATTAGGCATAATGCCAAATATTGTCTCTAACGTTTGACTAAATAGTCGCTTTGGCCTTTTATTTTTTGAGTATTTTAACCCCAAACGTTTTATCTTCGGGCAAAAAGGTCCCTTTATGAATGAAAACCGTTAATCAACAAATTATTAGCGCTCCAAAAAAAAAGGTATTTTTGTCTTAAAATGAAACGTTGAAGGTATAGGCGAGGGCAACACTCCCAACTTAGTTTACTCCATTCTTAAATATCAGGATTCAAATCTTTAACCTTGTTAAAATAATTCAGTGTCTCATCTCACTAAACCAAGTGATCGTTAGTAGATAAATGAATATTTTTAAACCATATATTTTTATTACTATAGATTTAATATTTTTTTAAATTATCAATCAATATCTAA